CCGAAAACTTCCCCCAGTCCCGCCAGTGCGAGGGTTTCCTGGTGATTGGAAACTTCCTCTATTAAGACTCCCTTCCCGGGACGGGTCTCCATCTGTAGCTCTTTTGTCTTCCTTTTTATCTTTTATATTTTGTCCTACCTCCCTTCAAAGACAATGGGCAGGTTTTCTGGGCACCTGATGTCCTCTGCTAGCGATCAGAAGTTGTTTTGTGAAGTTTGCTCAGCGTTCAAATGTTCTTTTGATGAATTTGTAGGGGAGAAAGTGGTCTCCCCGTCCTAATCCTCCACCATCTTGGCTCCTCCTCCATAACTGGATTTTAACTGATCATTTTATAATACTGAGGGCAAGGGTCTGTCTCTGTCAGACTTACAGTTCTGTGTGCCACCCAGGGATGTAGAGAATAGTCAGTAAAAACACCACAAGTACAAGGCAGCATAAGTTTGAAACAGTATTGAAAGTAGGAGGAACAGTTGACAATTTTTTGTTCCATCAGTATTTTACTTAAGAATGAACTATATATGTGGAATCTAAAAAAATGGTACAGATGAACATATTTGTAGGGTAGATAGGATGCAGACTTACAGAATAGACATGTGACATGAGAACAGGAGGGTGGGATGAGTTGGGAGATTAGGATTGACATAAATACACTGCTATGTGCAAAATAGATAGCTAGTGGGAACTTACTGTATAGCACAGGGAGCTCAGCTCAGTGTTGTGTGATGACCTAGAGGGGTGAGATGGAGGGGAAGGGCGGGAGATCTGAGAGGGAGGGTGATATATGTATGTATACACACACACACACACACACACACACATACACACACACACACACACACACACACACAGCTAGTTTGGGCGTCCCTCATGACTCAGACAGTAAAGAATCTGCCTGAAATGCAGGAGGCCCAGGTTCAATCCCTGGGTTGGGAAGATCCTCTGGAGAAGGGATGGCCACCCACTCCAGTATTCTTGCCTGGAGAATTCCATGGACAGAGGAGCCTGATGGGCTACAGTCCATGGGGTAGCAAAGAGTTGGACACATCTGAGTGAATAACACTTTCATTTTCATTTTCATGGCTTCCAGCCCTGCTCTGGCCAGAGTCCAACGGCGGCAGCAGCACTGAGGGACCCGCCTCAGGGTGGTGTGACCTTTGAGACCATTGCCCTGACCTTCACCTGGAAGAAATGGAAGCTTCTTGATGTGGCTCAGAGATGCCTGTACCGTGATGTGATGCTGGAGAATTTATATCCTCACTGGGTTTCTGCAGTGGAGAGGAGAAATTGAGGCTTCCTTTGAACAGAGTGTTTCTGTGGGGGTGTCATAGGCCAGGACTTGCAAGAAGCCTTCATCTTCTCAGAATACTCACCCCTGCGAAGTGTGTGGTCCAGTTGTGAGAGGCATTGTCCATTTGGCTGAGAATCAGGGAACATAACACAGCAAGAAACTACTGAATTGTAGGACACGTGCAAATGATTTTATTTCAGTGCAGATCCTCAACAGCACCAGGAACAGCACATGTAAGATAAACCATTCATAATCAGTGTGGACAGCCTTTAATTTGTGAAGAGCTCCAATTTCCATGTATAAGAGAAACCTTTAACCAGCAAGGAAGTTGGGGATGACTTCTGAGCCACCTCAGAACATCTGAAGCAACAGATCAGTCACACTGGGGAGAAGCCAAATACAGCCACCCACAGCATGGAAACTTTACAAAGCAAAAAAGTCATTGTACCAGGGAAGAATGCAAGAAAGTCTTCAGCCCAAACTCACACTTGTTCAGGACCAGAGTGCCTACACTGAAAGACAATGTTTTGTGTGCAGTAAATGTGGGGGGAAACTCAAGTATAGATCATCATTTATTGTGCACCAGAAAGTCCACACTCGTGACAGACTTTATGAGTGTGGTGACTGTGAAAATCTTTTAGAGGAAGTTCAGCCCTCATTCAAAATCAAAGAATTCATACTAGGGCAAGGCAGTACAAGTGCAGCCAGTGTGGGAAATCCTTTAGCCAAGAATTTTTCCTCATTTATCCTCAGAGGAGTAACACTGGAGAAAATTGCCATGGTTATTATCATTGTGCACAATCTTCTGGCCATAGCTCCATCTTTATTCAGCAATGGACAGTTCACACTGGAGAAATGAGTTATGAATGCCCTGAATGTAGAAAGTCCTTTAAATGAAAACCTGATGTAATTGAACATTTGAGGGTTCATACAGGAGAAAGGCCTTATGAGTGCAGTGAATGTGGGAAATCTTTTACTTCTAGCTCTGCCCTCCATTATCATCAGAGAGTTCACACTGGAGAGAAGACTCATAAATGTGGGGAATGTGGGAAGTCTTTTACCTCTAGCTCTGGTCTGCGTTATCATCAGAGAATTCACACAGGAGAAAGGCCATATGAATGTACTGATTGTGGAAAGTCTTTTACCCAAATAAATCACCTCATTATACACCGAAGAATTCACACAGGAGAAAGGCCTTATGAGTGCAGTGAATGTGGGAAATCCTTTAGCCATAAATCTTACCTATCTCAACACCAGAGAGTTCACACTGGAGAAAGGCCTTTTGAATGTAATGAATGTGGGAAATCTTTTACCTCTGGTTCTGCCCTCTGTTATCATCAGAGAGTTCACACAGGAGAAAAACCTTATGAGTGCAGTGACTGTGGGAAATCCTTTACCAATGGACCAATACTCATCCGACACCGTAGAGTTCACACAGGAGAAAGGCCTTATGAGTGCAATGAGTGTGGAAAATCCTTTACCCAAAGAAATCATCTCAACATACACCAGAGAGTTCACACAGGAGAAAGGCCTTATGAGTGCAGCGAATGTGGAAAATCTTTTACCTCTGGCTCTGCCCTTCGTTATCATCAGAAAATTCACATTGGAGAAAGGCCTTATGAGTGCAGCGAATGTGAGAAGTCTTTTACCTCTAACTCTGCCCTCCGTTGTCATCAGAGAGTTCACACAGGAGAAAGACCTTTTGACTGCAGTGAATGTGGGAAATCTTTTAGAGATAGTTCCCAGTTGAATCAACACCAGAGGGTTCACACTGGAGAAAAGCCTTATGAATGTACGGATTGTGGGAGATCCTTTAGCCAGAATTCATACCTCTCTAAACACCGGAGAGTTCACACTGGAGAGAGACCTTATGAGTGCAGTGAATGTGAGAAGTCATTTACTTCTGTCTCTGCCCTTGGCTACCATCAGAGAGTTCACACTGGAGAACGACCTTATAAGTGCAGTGACTGTGGGAAATCTTTTACCAATAGCTCAATACTCGTTCGACATCGGAGAGTTCACACAGGAGAAAGGCCTCATGAATGTAGTGATTGTGGAAAATCCTTTACCCAAAGAATTCACCTCATTATTCACCGGAGAGTTCACACAGGAGAAAGGCCTTATGAATGCAGTGAATGTGGGAAGTCTTTCACCTCTCGTTCCACCCTTCATTATCATCAGAGAGTTCACACAGGAGAAAAGCCGTATGACTGCCTCAAATGTGGGAAGTCTTTTAGCCGAAAATCTAACCTCTCTCAGCATCAGAGAATTCACACTGGAAAAAGGCCTTAGATGTATAAGAAATGTATAGTTTCCTTGTTCAGTGTAATGACACTGGGCCAAACTGTGAGACACTAATTGCCTCACAAATCCAAACACCAAGAGTAAAGAGATTCTTCATCATAATTTCAGTTACGTGGGAAGCACATGTAACTGTGTTGCACACTAATCTGCTCTTGATAGATTTACATCACTTCCAGTTTCCTTCGCCATATTCATTTCACCTCTAATCTGGCAGGTTTCCACAGTATGCATCAGTCACTACCCCAGCATGCTCAGGGAAGTGTACTCTGTTCTCTCATTTGTTGGAGGAAATTAGCATTAGCCTAAACCCTTGGGATGTCTTCATTCCCTTTCTGAGCAGCTTGTGCCTGGGCCTGATGCAGTATTGGCCCAGAGAACATCAAGAGTTCATCTGGCAGCTTGCAGAGGAGGACCACCATTTTCAGGAACGTGTTGGTCTGAAGATACTAGTGATTAATTTTTCTAGCTTTCAAGTCACCAATTAAGAATTGCCAGCCATTGCTGGCAGATCTGCCTGACCATTGCTTTGGTTTGTACAGTAACAAAGATGTTACTGTTTAAATCCTCCTTAATCTTGGACGTTCCATTTACCATGTCATGTGTTTTATAAACAGAATTGGGCTCTACAAGCATGAAGAGGTGTGCAACTTTCATGGGGGTTTCAAACTTTCTGTGCTTCAGAGGAGACAATACAGAGGCAGAAGTTAGCTTACTAGTTTTTGCCAAATTTGCATTTATGCCCATGGCCTCCTGTGAAAGACTGCAGGGCNTATATATATATCTTTCTACATAAATAGGGTAGAGGATAAACTTCCAGGATATTAGTGTTTTTATTATGAATATGCTTATCTTTTTAAAAAATTACTATTTTTCTTCTGATCCATTATTCTTAATTTTGATCCTTTTGATAAGTTTGTCATGCTATCTCACTGTTGTTTTATTTTCATTTCCCTAAGGATTCATGATCATTTTTCCAGATGTGTATTTGCTATCTCTATATCTTTAGTGCAATGTTCATATTTGCCACCTAGTCTATGACTTTTGGCTATTTTCTTCCTTTCAGAAAACAACAGTGAAACAGACAAGTCATATAGGAATTTCACTCACTTTGTGACTTTTTAATTTATGGAGTATTTTAATACCAGAGTAATGTGTTCTATTTTTTTCAGTTTTTTAATGCTATGTGCAGTGTAATGGACATCATCACTTTTAATCTGTTATTAACGTACTCTCCATCACTTTCTAAAGTCCAGGCATTTAACAAAACCAAAAATCTTTCCTTAAAAAACAAAACAAAACACTAATGACAAGTTTTACCTGAAAATATCCTATAAACCTGCATGGCCCAATACAGAGCTGTTAGCCACTGTCCCGACTGAGCACTTGAAATGTGGCTGATCCAACCTGAGATATACTCTCAGAGTAAAATGCACCATAATCCAAAAGTAGGATAACAAGATGTAAAATATGTCCTAGTAACATTGCATTGATTACTTGTTAACATAATAAAGTTTTGGATATGTAGATGTGCTGGTGAGGGACTGATTTGATCAATAAATTATTTTCTATCCAATTTGATCAGTAATTTCTTTTCTATCCAATTAGACCAATGCCTACCCTAATTGGCCCACTGCAAAATGTTGCCAATTATATCACTACTGGTAAAAAATAAAAGTCCAGTTGTTATTACAACATAGTGTGCTAAGATCTAGCTTGACTCTGAAAGGTTTACTTTTCCTGTATATTAATGACTTTACTCTGATTTGAAATAATAAAGACTAAGTGCTTTTAGATAAAAGTTGGATAAGAATCCATATACCGAAATGTGAGTGGGAAATCAACACCTAATGCTTAAAGTTATGCCCACTGGGAGGGGGGAGGGAGTGGGGGGAGGACTTCCAGACGTACTGCCCAGCAATCTGTGCATTAACAAGCCTTCTGGGTTTCTCTGATATCTACTAATTTTTGAAAACCTCTGCCGTCAAAGTAATTTGAAATCATTTCTTCTGGAAAAAGAATCCCAACCTTGTAGAAATGGCTGGATAATTTGATGATTGTTTTACCAGAGATTTCCATCTCAGGAGAGTTTCCTTTTAACAAATTGGAGGGGGGGGGGTGTGTGGGAGAGGGGTTGGCCCCAAGATGGCAGAGGAATAGGACAGGGAGACCAATTTCTCCACCACAAATTCATCAGAAGATCATTTGAATGATGAGAAGCTTCCACAAAACAACTTCTGAATGCTGGCAGAGGACACCAGACATCCAGAAAGGCAGCCCATTCTTTTCGAAAGGAGGTAGGACAAAATATAAAAGACAAAAAGAGAGACATTCTGGGGAAGGAGCTGTGAAGGAGGAGAAGTTTCCAAACAGCAGGTACATATTGGAATTTTGAGATATAATTTGTTTGTTTTAGTGACATGAGTTGAAGTTATAAACTTACTAATAGATGAGAAGGAAATAATAGGGAAAAGTAAATATTTTGTAGAACATAACTATGAATTTTCCAGTTGATTTAAAAAAGGAAAAACCAAAAAAAAAAAAAAAACAAAAAGAACAAAAAATAAAAATAAACAAGCAAAATCTAAAATAGAACAAGTATAAAGAAATCCACATGTAGAGGGGCAGTTCCAAGATGGTGGAGGAATAGGATGGGGAGACTACTTTCTCCCCAGCAAATTCATCAAAAGATCATTTGAATACTGACCAACTTCCACAGAACAACTTCTGAATGATGGCAGAGGACACCAGGAACCCAGAAAGGCAGCCCATTCCCTTTGAAAGGAGGTAGGGCAAATTATAAAAGACAAAAAAAGAAAAGAGTTAGAGACAGAGACCTGTCCTGAAGAGGGAGTTGTGAAGGAGGAGAAGTTTGCACACAGTAGGAAATCCTCTCACAAGTAGGTCTTTGGGAGTTTTGGAATCTCAGATGGCAACATAATTGGGAGAGAAAAAAGAAAACCCCACAGAATATGCACCTAACAGCTACTGCCAGTGGAGAAGTAGCCCAGATGCTTGTGACCACCACCAGCCAGGTGGGCTAGACAGGGAGGTGTGGGCTGCATAATCGGTGCTTAGGGTAAGGACCGGGCCTGAATGCCCTGAGGACAATCTAAGGGAATTAAAGTGAGAAAACAACCCAAACAGTGGGATCACCAGAGAGGAAAAAGAGAACTTTCCCATGAAAGGCTCTAATGTGCAGCCTGGCCCACTAACAGAACAAACGATTGAGCAATCGCCAAAAGAGACCTAGCCAGCTGCTTACAGGCCTCTCCCTGTTCTGCTTCCCGCCACCGTTGGAGGCAGAGAGGCAGGCATGAGACAGTCAGAGCCAGAAGGCAAGGGGCTGCTGCAATCGGGGCCCTGGAGACCAGCATCCTCCTCAAAACTGTGAACAGGCTCTCACTTGCTAATCATGTCTTCCTGGGATCCTGGATGGTTGACATCTGCCAAGAAGGTCTTGGCAGTGCTATCACGGTGCACCTGGGAAACCAAGCAGCTCGGGGGGAGGTGATTAAGGCACTCGGCCCAGCTAGGACAGTGCGCTCACAAAGCACCCGGTCTCCTAAGCTGCCAGGAGCTGGGAAGGGCACAAGACGCATGCCTAACCAAATCTGTGCCCTTGCAGAGGACCTGAGAACCTGAGCTGCTTTGTACCTCGGACGTGCATGAAATGCAGGGCCTGCTTTGGACAGTGCCTCTGCAGAGTGCCCTGGAGTCTGAGCAGTGTAGACCTGGGAAGCACATGCCACCTTGAGCTGGGGCAAACCCAGTGAGGTCCATACAGTTTGAGCACTCCCTACACACACCAGCGATATTTGTTTGCAGTGTCCCTACCTCCGCACAACACAACTGGAAAAGTGAGCCTAAAGAAGTGACCACCTTTGTACCCTTGTGTCAGGGCAGAAATTAGACCCTGAAGAGACTTGCAAACAGAGGAAGTCAAAATAAAGAAGAGGAAACTGCTGTGGAAGTGACAAGAGCAACAGATTGACACCCTGTAGTCAACACTGACTAAGTGTTGGAGGGGGCCTAAGACCTTGAGAAAGAGTGCAAGCTAGAATGAGGAACAATCTGAAACTGAACTGACCCCACACTGCCCACAACAGCTCCAGAGAAATTCCTAGATATATTTTCACTATCACTTTTAATTAATTTAATTTATTTATTACTCCTTTTTCTTTTTTATAATCTATTACCTTGCAAAATAAAGACCTTATTTTAAAGCATATTATATAAATATATATTTTATAATTTTTCTGATTGATTTTGTCTTGTATATTTAATTTTGTATTTTTGAGAGTCTAACCTCTACTCTATATTGTTAATCATTGCTTTTTGGTATTTGTTATCAACTTTGTCCCTTTAGGAATCCAATCTTCAGTATCCATTTTCACTTAGGGGTGTGATTACTGGCTTGATTGCTCCCTTCCCTTTTGACTCTCCCTTTTGTCCCCCAGGTCACTTCTATCTCCTCCTGCCCCTTCTCTGCTCTAATTAATTCTGTGAATCACTCTGGGTGATCCAGGCTGTGGATAACACTTAGGGAACTGATTACTGGTTAGATTGGTCTCTCCCTTTTTGACTCCCCTCTTCTCCTCCTGGTCACCACTATCTCCCTCCTCCCTCTTCTCTTCTCCATGTAACTCCATGAAACCCTCTTGGTGGCCCTCACTGTGAATTGTTTCACCATTAACCTAGATGCTTTATCACCTGTGCTGTATAGATGGAGATGTCTTGAGGCTACTGTAAGAATAAGACTGAAAGCCAGAGGCAGGAGGTTTAACTCCAAAACTTGAGAACATCAGAGAACTCCTGATTCCAGGGAACATTAATAGACAAGAACTCACCCAGCAGCCTCCAAACCTACACTGAAACCAAGACCAACCCAAGAGCCAACAAGTTCCAGAGCTAGATATACCATGCTAATTCTCCAGCAAAGCAGAATCACAGCCCTGAGCGTTAAAAGACAGGCTACCCAAAGCCATGCCAAACCCATAGATGCCCCCAAACTCACTACTGGACACTTCATTGCCCTTCAGAGAGAAGAGATCCAGCTCCACCCACCAGAACACAGACACAAGCTCCCCTAACCAGGAAACCTTGACAANACAAACACATCTCACTACTTAATGGCAGGCTTGCTAAGATACTTGGAGAGACACATACTGATGTCTTCAATTTACCACAGAATGCACCAAGGAGAAAGATTGATTGTTGATTGTATAGAGGGATGGACAAATGGATAGATAGATGGAAAAGGAAGTATTGTAAAATGTTTACAAAATCAGACCACTATATATGCTGTCTAAGAGAAACCCTCCTCAAACCAAGGGACACGTACAGACTGAAAGTGAAGGGCTGGAAAAAGGTGTTTCATGCAAAAGGTGAGCAATAGAAATTAGGAGTAGTGATACTCATATAAGTTAAAATAGACTTTGAAATAAAGGACATGAAAAGAGACAAAGAAGGCCACTACATAATGATCAAAGGATCAATCCAAGAAGAAGATATAACAATTATAAATATATATGCACCAACATAGGAGCACTTCAGTATATAAGGCAAATGCTAACAAGTACAAAAGGGAAAATTAACAATAACACAATAATAGTGGGAGACTTTAATACCCACTCACACCTATGGGTAGATCAACCAAGCAGAAAATTAGCAAGGAAACACAAACTTTAAATGATACAATGGAGCAGTTAGACCTAATTGATATCAAAATGACATTTCACACCAAAACAATGAATTTCACCT